GCGCACCAGCCCAGTAGGGGCTGGTTCCCCTCCCACTTCAGCCCACGGGGCCCTTCGAGATAGGTGGCCCCACTCGGTAGACCCCCGGGACCCTTTCGGCGGTCCCGGTACAATATCGGGTGACCCCCAAACTTTCCCGATGGCCGAAACAGCACTTCCTATATATAATTCTTTACCTCCGGACCATTCCGGAACTCCTCGTGACATCCGGGATCTCATCCGGGACTCCGAACAACATTCGGTTTGCTGCATACTCATATTCATACAACCCTAGCGTCACCGAACCTTAAGTGTGTAGACCCTACGGGTTCAGGAGATATGCAGACATGACCGAGACGGCTCTCCGGTCAATAACCAACAGCGGGATTTGGATACCCATGTTGGCTCCCACATACTCCTCGATGATCTCATCGGATGAACCACGATGTCGAGGATTCAATCAACCCCGTATACAATTCCCTTTGTCAGACGGTATGTTACTTGCCCGAGATTCGATCGTCGGTATCCCAATACCTCGTTCAATCTCGTTGCCGGCAAGTCACTTTACTCGTACCGTAATGCATGATCCCGTGACCAGACACTTGGTCACTTTGAGCTCATTATGATGATGCACTACCGAGTGGGCCTAGTGATACCTCTCCGCAATACGGAGTGACAAATTCCAGTCTCAATCCGTGTCAACCCAACAGACACTTTCGGAGATACCTGTAGTGCACCTTTATAGTCACCCAGTTACGTTGTGACGTTTGGTACACCCAAAGCACTTCTACGGTATCCGGGAGTTACACGATCTCATGGTCTAAGGAAGAGATACTTGACATTGGAAAAGCTCTAGCAAAACGAACTACACAATCTTGTGCTATGCTTAGGATTGGGTCTTGTCCATCACATCATTCTCCAAGTGATGTGATCCCGTTATCGACGACATCCAAAGTCCATAGTCAGGAAACCATGACTATCTGTTGATCAACGAGCTAGTCAACTAGAGGCTCACTAGGGACATGTTGTGGTCTAAGTATTCACACGTGTATTACGATTTCCGGATAATACAATTATAGCATGAATAAAAGACAACTATCATGAACAAAGAAATATAATAATAATCCTTTTATTATTGCCTCTAGGGCATATTTCCAACAATCCTTTTAGTATCTTTTTCATTGCTGACATGTTCTTCGAGTAATCTTGGTGCCCACTATTCTTCTTGGATGTAGGATTCCGGTATAGCAATTGCAATAGTCCTCCCAGTTCACTCTTCTGAATTGTGGCCTGCTGCTTTTTTATTATCCAAAAAGCTAGCAGATCATATGTTTACTCATGGACAACTATATGATGTTCTGTCTCATGTGCATTAAGAGAATTGCTAAAAATATTTACTGAAGATAAAGTTGTAGAATGTAGTATTGAAACACAGAATATCGTTTACCCTTAGGGGTATGCCTCTGCTGGGGCCTTTTGAGATATCTGTGTACCATCATGGTCTTATATTTTGCAGTGTGGTGCTTTTTTTTGTTTGTTTTGGGTTCAGCTGCCTTCGTCTGTGCATATCCTTTTGTTATAATCATAAAACGAGATAGTCGATTTCTTCTTCTTGGAATAGTGCTTTCGCTCGAATAATAAATGATTTCATGTAGGGAGAGGGGGCGTATATCCATACACTACCCGCATCATGCTAATTGCATGTAATTTGTCTCTCTTTCATATATTTGTTGGTAGTTTTTCTTTTCGAGTTTGCTTTGTCCTCTCCCGATTATTCTTTTCCTGGTGATCAATTTCTAACTATTTGTTGTAGATGGCATTCAATGCACTCTCCTTTTGATGCGTCGGCTTGAAACGCATTATGATATACATTTAACTGTAGATGGCATGCCGCGGATTATGATATACATTCAACTCAGTTGCAGATATCATGCAAGTGACAAAACACATTATGATATACATTCAATTTGCTTACTCCACAGTTGCGCAAAAATTTTCTTGGTTCCAGGTTCTGAATACGTGTTAATCCAGCATCTGTTTTGACCCTGTAGATGAATTTATCCCCAGATGTTTATACAGGGAAGGAGGCATACCATTGATAGTTTGAATCAAACCAGTAGAGGACGCCACCGTCGATTATGGTGTCGAGCAATGGAACTGCAGTGATCTGGCAGTGTGACTGTTGACCTCCTTGACACCATTCACGTTCGTCGCTCTGAACCCACTCAGCAGACAAGTAACTCTTTATCCTTAAATTCCATGTATAGCTCTGTATCCTTAAATTCCTTGCACTATTCTCATGGCCGTTGAATACATCATGTAACCCCACATAAATGGCTAAGAACCAAATAAATTTAATTTATCTTCAATACCCTCTCCAAAATATTTCTATTATCTGTATTAGGAAGGATCTATAAGAGTTGCTGCTATATATATTTTTTGTACACTCAGTAATCTTTAATGGTTTATTAACACTAGCTAATCCGAAGTAGATGTTTGTTATTTGTTCCCTTTTCCTTACTTATCAATAGAATAATGATTTTTATTTTTATCTGTTTTGTAGAACCATCGAATTCAAGTCATCTTTGAGTACAGGACATCTTCTGAAGTTCGTGCCATCATGCTTTAGTTTCCCACATGGGCTGAGATTATTCAAATAAAAAGACGGTCTCAGGCACAAGAGCATGATGTGCTTGCACCAGTTGCTTTCACACCAAGGCCACGCGGTTGATCATCTAAGCGTGCCTATGAAGTTGACCGACAAGGCAGTTGGATAGAGCTACTAATTAGTATACCTAATAGCTATTGCTTTGTAGTTTGACCGCCTCTACCGTCAGTATGCCTGGCTTTTGCTTTCTTATTATGTTCCTGCTATTAGTACTTCCTCTCTCGTCTTCGTGCTCTTAGTATTGAACTTAATGTTTAGTTATTAGCTTTTGTGGTTTAAAGAAGTAACTGAGTGTTTATAATTTCATGACGATGTTGAACTCGATAATATCTTGCTTCTTACTGAATGATCATTATCTGCTTGACCATATCGTTGGGACCGACACCCTTGCGCCAAGGCGCGGTCCCGATCTAGTACAGATGAAGGATTTAAAGACACTGAAATAAAATATCAATTATGAGAAATAAAACCCTATCAGTCAAAATCCTCTTTCATACCCTTGAAGGGATTTAACATTGTCCGCCAATTTTCCTTGCATTGCGATACATCTTATGATCCTTATTAAATTTTAATCAACTTTTTCTTTCCAATTTCAACGCATGGGCATATGTGCTAATATGAATATGATATATTTAGACTGAACTTTTTTAATTACCTTGTACTTAGAACTTGTACTTTTCGAATAAGGTTTTAACTAATACATATTTTATTATATTTAACAAATGTGTAATAATATTAGTAGGCATTAAGATACTACAATGTATTTATTATAAATTTGAACATGTGACAAATACAATTTAACTAAATTACACGCATATATAATATGAAGTGCGATGTAGTAGTTTCCTTTTCTATATATTGTCTCTTCTTTTGTTGTTTTAAACTAAATTCTTTGAGATCCAATAAAATGAAAATAAAACATAAATATAAGTCTTCACAGATTAATCCATGCCACTTATATCAACTGCAAAGTTATATTAACATTATTATTTTTATTGTAGTTTCCTTAAATATCACGACAAAGAGCTATAAAGTTGAGTGATGTATCCAGAATGCATGATTGCCTATTTTTTGTGCAACTGAACAAGAGGGATAACTATCTACAAATTAAATAGAAAATTCTAGAATATTAAAAATATTTCCTAGTGGTTTGTCTTAAAATGGATGTGTCGGTGTTATGAAAACAACCCTTGACTAGGAGGTATCAATAATGTCGTTGTACACAAACATAAACAACATAAAAACGATTTTGAATCAGTTTAATCATTTCAACGGAGCGAGACCTTGTCCTATGTCAGGAAGGCCTCGAGTGGGGCTAGATGGTCAAAGGCTTCAAGTCACAATGCGACTAGTCGGAACCCTCTCCCGGACCATATGGGACAAAGACCTAACACAACTCCCCGGACTTGATGCTAGAGTGACTGAGAACTTTTCTTTACAAAGAGAATATATTAATATCGTGGAGATACCAATTACACCCGGCCTCTGCAACAACGAAATGTCGTAAAGACATTACAGATGCACACAACCAAAAGAAGAAGAAGAAGAACAAAAGATCCCACTACAATGATCAATTCCTTGTAACAGGAGCATACAGATGGTAGATCAATGACCGTCGGCATGAAGCAGAACACCGTCTTGACGCTAGAAGAACTCTAGGACCGCCGCCGGAGAGGAACAGATCTGGGCCGGGAACCCCAGATCCGCCGCAATCATACATCATGGTATTTTGTTTTTCTATGCAATTCATAAATACATCTATTTTTTCAAGGCATATATTTGTGAACCCCTTGGGCCTTGCACTACCGCCCTTCTGGCCCTGCCACCCAAGGGCTGATTCTGGTTCGAAATATTTCAGGCAACAAACCGAGCTATTTCTTTCTGAATTAATTTCCTAAAATTTACCACATGGCATACGTTGTAAGCAATCTTCAAATCAATTTCAAAAAAAATACAATGGCTGCTGTACTAAACTCGTAGATTCAGCTAGAGCTTCTGCCACGGTTGAACAACCGAAGCAAGAAGAACAAACAATGAGCTGGAGCAACAAAATCAAACAACATCAGCAATTCAGCATAGTGGTAAAAAATTGAACGAGTGATCTACATATATACTTTCAGCACAACATGATCTGCATACACTTTGTTTCACCAGGTTAAAAGGACGTGTTTATCACTACACAGACTGATGTGCTGCATCAACAAACAGTAACATGTGCTCTTAAAACCAATCAACTCCTGAAGCACAAAGTTCAGAAGATTTCAGGCAGCAAACCCAGCTATATATTTCTTTCCCATCAATTTCCTAAAATTTACATTTGCGGGCTATACGGTAAATCCTTCAATTAACCCAGCTAGCTCCGGCCACAGTTGAAGGACCGGAGCGAGAAGAACGAACGGTGAGCTGCAGTAACACAATCAGACAGCATCAGCAATTCAGAAACGAGGTACGATCTGGAACAGACATAAAAACCATGGTAATTAATCCAGATCTTATTAATAGCACAAGTGAGTACGCAGTAATTACCTTTTGGTGATTTCTCTGGTGGAACTATCTCACACAGCTCAGACTTTGCAGGAGAAGCAGCAGCAGCCACGAGGCTCTGCAGAGAGCAGGCTGCACAAACATTCAGAACTCGTTAGCCGTCAGAAAGAAAATCACATTCAAATTAGTAATTCCTATTCTAATTTCATCAGTCTAATTGAATTTGAAACTTCCATTAACTGCAGAAACTTTCTCCATTTCATCGGTACAAAATGAGCTATGAATCTGTCTGTCAGTGGCTCAGTGCAAGTGAATGACGAGAAGAACGTGTGATAAAAATGTTCCCATTTCTTTACCCTGTGGCGAGGCGGCATATTGATCCGTGTCGTCGGAGGCAGCGTCCGGGGAGGAGCCCAGCATCCTGGGCCTGATCGAGTCGGCGGCGGCCGGCCACCGCTCGTTCGCGCCGTCGTCGTCGTCGATCGTCGGAGAGCTGCAGTCGACGATGACCGTGGTAGCGCCCTCCCTGCTGCCTCTGTTCTTCTTCCCGAAGCTCAGGAACCTCTTCTTGAACCCCATCGCCGTCCCTCTCGGAGACGTCGTCGGCGCCGCGCCGTAGGCCCTTCTCCCCGCGCTGCCCGGTGTCGACACCGCCGGGACGCTCCTCCCTCCGGTGGCGCTCTGGTCCTCTCGCCTCTTCCGCAGCTGCGCGGCGTCCTCCCCGAGCAGCCTCTCGATGGACTGGGCCCGGGAGCTGCAGGAGGGCGGGCTGCTGGGAGCGGAGCCCCGGCCTGACATGGAGGAGACCGAGTCGGCGCTTCCCCTCGCCGGCGCTTCTTCGGCATTCGCCGCCGTCGGCACCTCGTCTGTGCCATTCCTGACCTGGATATGTGGTTCATCAGATCCTGGTCCAGCCAATGCGTCAGAGAGCCTCGCGGCTTCCTCCTCCTCAACGACGGCCTTCTTCTTGATGAAGACGTAGCTCGGCTCGGTCTCCGAGTCGCTGGTGATCTCTCCGTTACCAAGCTTCGCCTCCGGCGACCGCACCACGATCTCCTCGGCATCGCGTCTCTCCAGGTCGCTGGCGAGCTCTCCATTCTTCGCTTCAGGTTCGTCGCCATCTACTGCTGGAGCTGCACTGTCCACTACCTCGCCGCCATCTGATGCCGGCGAAGCGGCTCGCGCGTTCTCGGTGACAGTGCCATTGTCACACGCCAAGAACGGTATTCGGGAAGAAGCCTTCTGAGCTTCACCAATGTCGGAAGCAGCACCAAGGTCGCTCATCGGTGCAGCCACGTTCGCGTTCTGCGGCAGCGCTGCTTCCCTGACAACCTCCATGCCGCCGGAGCTGGACGGCCGGGGGAAGCTGCGCGGCGGCTTCGGCTTCGGGCCAGCCTGCCTGAGTGAGCCGTGCCCCTTCGTCGAGGCGCTCTTGCTCCCCGACAAGGCCTTGCGCTTCGGCGCGGCGCCGGTCACTGGCCGGGCTCGGTGGCCGTGCTTCCTGCCGGCGCCGTCGTCAGTGCCTGCCGGTGGCTCGGGTGGTTCCTGCGAGACCGCGCGCCGTATCCCGACGTCAGGGCGGGTGCTTTTGACCAGGTTGGCCGACGAGAAGCTCCTCCTGGTGCGCGGGTGCTTCTTGCCGGAGACCATGCCCGGAGCAGCCACGTCAGAGCTCCTTCTCCTCTCGCCGCCGCCCTCGGTTTCCTGCTGCACCATGGAGCCTAAAGTTATTAAATCTGTACAATACGCTCCTCGGTGCAAATGGCGATGCACCTTTTTTTTTTGAGAGAGAGAGAGATGGTGATCCGCAATACTATGGGAGTAAAAGAAGGGACGTAAGGAAGAATGTAAGCTAGACTTTTTGATTTTTATTAGTAACAAGTAAATATTTAAACGCTTTTATATTATGAGATGAAGGGAGTAAATTATAGCATCTTCAATATTGTAGTCTTTCACAGTGTATTTTAAAAAGATGTCTTCGTCTCCAAAAAAAAAAAATTTCAAAGCAAAATGAGAAAATTGTGTTTTCAAAAATTGAAGTATTCATTAGCCAGACATTAAAATACTAAGGTTCTATATTACCATGGTTTTAAAATATTAATGTCAAACTAAGCTTAATACTCCTAGTTACTCGTGAGTAGAAAAGGGACCGACTATTTATGGGAGCGACTATTATGCATAGCATGAGCAAAATCGTGCACTCAGTTGAATCTGTGAATTTGTGAATGTGAATCGAGGGACTAAGAAGGCTTCATCCACCTCGAACTGTCTTCTTTCTCTAGTCCCAAAGAACCTCCCTCAAATGCCACGGACCCGGCACTCGCAACTGATGGTGCTCCCACGCCACCTTGCCACCCTGTCCTCTCCAAGTCGTCTCCTCTTCGCATGGTCCACCCAACCCCTCCTCGAGCACCCCCTTTACCCGACCTTTACCCGGCTCTAACAAGCCCCTCCCTCGCCCTCGCATCCACAACAGTCAAGCTTCTACTTTCCTCTTGCCGGCCCCGTCTCCTATCCGTTCAAGACCTGGGCTCGCTGCACCTTGGCAATAGCAAATGCGGATATTGGGGCTGTTTGGATTGGTGCCGATGGTTGCCGGATCAAAACTTTGGCATTGGCCGGAGCACAATCAACCGTTTGGATGGGCTCCAACTTTTGGTTCGCCCCATACTCAGCAACCTTTCACGTTCAGTTTACGAAATTTATTGGCGAGGCGAGGGTGGCCGATTCCTCCGCCAAAATATTGGCCTGCCCCTTGCTGGCAGGGCAAACAGGGGCAAAATCCAAACAACCTCATTTATTAGATGCCTGTAATGTTTTGGTTTCAACCAAAGAGCTCTCCACCGTCGGATCTCCACATCCTTCTTCTTCCTCTAGCAATCGCATCTGCCTTATATTTCTCACAATCATCGACCGAACCTCCGCCCCCTCCCCCACCGCAGTTAGGCGGTGCTACCGCGTGCCGCCTTGCCTTTCTGCGTCCCGTCTCAGCCTCGAGGCAGCCCTACGCTGGAATTGTACTAAGTGCGTCTCTAACCCGGTCCATCAATTTCTTCCGATATGTCTGAACTGAACCATCAAGACATTTTTAGTCCTCCAAGGCTACACCTCATTTGTCCGCGGTCTGAAATCCTCCAGACCAGCCCCAAAACGTGGGCGGGGGCAGGGGAGGGGAGCTCTAGGGGAGTCCAGACGGTCCGCCCGGCCCACTGTCAATTGTAGCACGTCTCCCCCTCATCTCTTTCTCCTCTCGGTTTGTCTGACCCACCTCACAATCCAATTACTCCCTCCGTTCGGAATTACTTGTCTCGAAAATTGGTGTATCTAGAACTAAAATACGTCTAGATACATTCATTTCTGCGACAAGTAATTCCGAATGGAGGGAGTACAAGGGATACCGTTGGAGGGCCTTCGCCCGGCCGGCTGTCTGACATTTGAGGTCTGTTTAGTGATTGCTGTTGGAGATGCCGTAGCACGCCCAAGCCACGGAGTAATAGCAGACACGGATAGAAAATTATGACATTTATTATTTAAAACATTTTAACAACGCATACTATGAATGGAGAGAATATATGAATACCCATTTGGTATATAATCGTTTTGAAAGTCAACATGTGTGATATGACACGAGGTGGAGGCTGGTCTGATCGTGACCCGACAATATCTGCGACAGGCTAAGGGTTGACCGACCGATGCGACAGCGTGTTCAAAGTACCTGTTCTACATGGCAAGCACGAACGGTGCAAACTTTCGGCAGCCGACACGGAGCTCCTCCTTTTGGCGACTATTCTTCTACATGCCCCTCCACTCCTGCTGTGTGCATGTCGCATGCGGACGAGATGAACGAACGCATTCAATTCACCGTGGGCACAGACAGAAGGGCACTGCACCTGCAGGCCGCCAAACATGGTGATCGTATCGTGGTCAGGCCGAAAGCGTGACCTCTTTACTGACGACGACACACCAAATCAGCGTCTGACGCTGCACTGCGTACGACAACTTTGTTGCTCTAAATTGTGCGGACGTCGGTGCGTGCGTGTCGTCGTCGTCTGGCCAACAGCGCACGTAGGGCGGGCGGGCGGGCATGAGGAGCCGGAGGGCGTCACGTCACGTCTGCCGCCGGTGCAGCCGTACGGCGGTGCAACATGAAGTTAAGCGCAACCAGACTGACGGATCAACCACCGTCTAATCAACGCCATGCATAAACCACAAGCAAACAAAATAGCTAGGCTGCATGCATGCATGCATGGGCTCGGGAGATGGCGTGCATCGCTTTCATCCGTTAATTCAGATAGAAATGCATCGACCGGTCGAGCACAAGCTAGGCTAGGCTGCTAGCGCTAGCTAGTCCGGATGTAACGGAATGAAATCTCTCGTGTGAAGCACGCACGCACCGCACGCGTAGGAGGAGTACGCAGAGTCGTGCGTGCCTTCGGTTCGGTCCATCCAAAAACGACGTGCGTTTGAAGGGGTCGACCAAGATAGGAAACCACGGCAAGGCACACGCACGCACGCACGCACGTACGTGTCGTGACAGCGACCACACACGTCCACGGAAAAAGTCATCGGTCGAACGGTAACGGAATTACCTACCTCTCCGGCCGCGCCGTCGTCCTCCGCGGTGGCCGGGCCAGCGCCGCCGCGTCCGGGCCCGGCGCGGGCGTCGAGCTGCGCCCAGAGCGCCATGACCTCAGCCTCCTTGCGTTCCATGCGCGCGCGCCAAACAGAGCGCAGCCGCTCGTCCCGCCGCCGCGTGTACGCCTCGTACATCCTCCCCCGCACGCCTCCGACCGCCGCGTCCTCCTCCTCCTCCTCGACGCGGCCGTTGCCCACGACACCGCCACCGGCGTCGTCATCGGGTGCGGGGTCGAGGGCGAGGACGTGGGCGTCGTCGTCGACGTCGACGAGGCTGCTGATCCTCCCGGAGGAGGCCAGGCGCTGCTTGTACCCGGCGAACTGCCGCTCCAGCTCCGCGGCCATCGCCCACAGGTCCACGGCACCGTCGCGCAGCGTCATGGCGGCGAGGCGGAGGCGGGGCCTGGACCTCTGGTGCACGCTTCGGGTTGTGGATTTCGTTTGACTCTCGTGGATCCAAGGGGAATTAAGAGGAAGGCGCGCGGGAAGGAAGAAGGCGGGCGGGCGGGCGGTGGCGGACGTCGTGGGCGCATGCACTCGATCGACCGGTGTCGGTCGCGAGAGCGTGCGCGTGGGCTCGGCCGTTGCACGCCGGGGTCGGGGCAAGCCAAGCGGGCTCGCAGGCTATTTGTTGGGATCGTCGATCGGGCCAGGTCCGAAGGTTGGGTGACGTCGACCGGAGCCACTTTCTATC